CATTTTCTGTTACATACTGTAAAACATTAACTATGCCTGCTGATTAAGAACAATTTGTTCTGTGACTTGGGTTATTTTTGATAATATTCTGAATCTCAGAGAGACTCTATGCACTGAATTAGGGAAATAGTTCCATACAGGTAATGCTAGAAAAGATATGTAAGGATTTGATTTAGTAATGTGTGCTCACGCAACCAAGATCTTTCTCTAAATATCCCAGAACAGTTTGACTTAATAGCACTGTTATTTGTGGGCACATTACATTTTTTATTGAAAAAAAATCACCATGTAATACATGTTGAAACAAAATTCAAGAAGTATAGAAGTATCTGTACTGTGCAGAGTATGTTTCTTTCCTATTTATAACACTCTTTCAACCTCCTTCCACTTTGAGGAATTTGGTAGCTACTTTATAGACTGTTTTCTAAGAAAATCTTGTAAAGTGAGTTATTTTTACCCCCCCTTTCCCATTCTGTTTTTTATACCATAAATTTAAATTCAAGACATTATTACATAAATCATGTTAATGTTTACCCAGGACTTACCTGGAAAGTTAAATTCTATTTTTTCTGCTTAAGGAGTGAATAAGTTTTGTTTCTACTGGAAATTTCAAGTTGTAGAAATAACTTAAACCAGGAAAGCTTGAGTTTGATATCTCCTAGTCTTGCTTTTTGGATCAGCACTCATTGCCTGCTTCTCAGTGTCATCTGTAGCTTCAAGGAGTCTAGCAACTTTGAGAGAAGGAGCTCTTTAGGCCTGGTGTTGTTTCAGTCAGACATACTAGGCCTCATTCCCTGCACTTCTTATCCTGAAACCCCTTCATCTTAGGGCTAAAAACACAAGTAACATTTTTTAAATTAACAAAACTAGTATGAAAAATGTCACCATTATAAATTATTAGGATATTTTCAGTCCATTTTAACCAGTGTGGTATGTCTGAAAGAATATGGGTAAAAGAAGAGTTCTGTATTGTTTTTCCCACTCTGCTTCACTTGGCTCTCATTAACATTCTTGTGATAGAAAAAGGAAAGGATAGGATGCCGTTGACAATGAATGTACATAACTTCCCCCTCTTTCCTACTTTTGCCTTTTTCAAATGGGGGAGGGGCAGCTGAAATAGGGAAGCTCTTTGTCCATGTTGGGGAGACAGCAGTTATGTGGAGAATAGCATGTTTGGGGGAGAGAATAAATTTAGAAACTTTAAAAATAGTCCTGCTATATTATAACTGTCGTTGTTGTTTCCCTTGATGATTTTGATAACGTTTGCACTCAGAAGATACATACTGATTTCATATTCAGGAGATTTTCTCCTGTTGGTCATTTTACTTTGGATTAAAAGTCTTTTGGTAAATATCTAATTTAATCATAATAAAAAGGAAAATCTTATGGCTTGAAGTAGTTCCTTCTGGATCATTCCTTATATACTATCACTTATATTCCAAAAAAAAAAAAAAACCAAAAAAACTTTAGGAGTGGGGTAAACTATTTTGTTAGATTGAAAACCTAATTTTTCATATATGGATGTAATGTTGACTCAGTCAAAGCTGAAACAGTGGACATGTACCAAATAAACATTCAATCTTTCTTATTTTCCTTATTCTTTAGTAATATCACTTTCCCATATTTTCTGATTTATGCTTCTATAAAGTTGGAGGTTCTAGTTCTATATAACCCTTTTGGAAATCATGAATGTTAAATTAAAAATAATTAAGTATATTTCTTAGCTTTAAATTGCCACAAGCAGAAGTGTAACTGTTTAGGAATTTGGTGATTAGATAACTTGTCTCTTTCATTTGAAAAGTCGAAAGAAGCTCATGCGCTCTATCCTGGTTTTTATTATTCTTTGTGACCTTTGATTCTACGATAGAGAAGCTAATTGCTTTCTATTTTCAGATCATGATCATGTGCTGGCCATGGTCAGATGACCAAATTATTATGTAGATATATTACAATATGAAGGATGAGTTTGTGAATTTTGTTGATTATCTTTTAAGTTGTCTGCTTTTGGTTAGTGCAATCACAGTTAAGTATCTTTACTTACTTTAATAGGTGAAGAATAACCATATCCTTTCCAACCTTTTTAGCTCCTCCTCATTTAGTTATATTTGTCATCTTCCTTTAATTTACTACTTCCTTCTCCTTATCTATGAAACAAAACCAATCAATATAATGCATTCTTATCTATTTGGAGATTGTCCATATTGTATTTTTTTCTTGGCCAGTTCATACCGACATTACCTATTGTGTAGGAGTCTTCCTTCATTTGTACAATGAGAGTCAAAGTTTTTCTGAGTTTGCTTTGTTAGTACATGATGCTCTTTAAAGATGACTTTTTTTTTTTTACTGGATCTCCTGGCATCATTTTCAGAGCTGGGAAAGGAAGTGAAGTTGGTAGAAAATAGATGCTACAGTGTTAGTATACATTTTGTTTACTGGCCAATTAGGTAAAAGGAAGTAAAGGGCAGAAGAAGGAAGAAACACTGGAAGCCCTGCTGACACTTCATAGATACTCAGTAAAATTTGTTGTTGAAGATAATATCCAAAGAGTAATTTGGTGGCACTGTGTGTCCATGAACTAGGGAAGAGAGTAGGTTGGTGAGAGAGAGAGAGTGTGTGTGTGTACGTGTATCTGGTGGTGGTAGATTGTAGCAGCTAGAGGTTCTGGAGGAAGTGGAGCCCAAAGCACATTTTTACCTTATTTGTAATTTTGCTTAGAGCCTTGAGGTTACTTGGTACTTGTGATAATGTCTTAGTTGGCACTTTATCTTTGGAAGACTCTAAACCTGAGTTTTCCCTATGCAGTGTAGGCTATATTTTTAATTTGCTTCTCCCCTTTCCTTTTGTATCTTTTGTCCTCAGAAGATGTATTATATCTAATATTCATGGCTGTAAATGTGTCAGAATATTGAAGATCCTTAAAATGTTTCTAGATCTGGAGCAGTATGTTGTAAATTAATTTTTTAAGAAATGAGAAACATTGTCTTAATTAATATATCACACTTTTTCATGTGGTTAATTTCTGTTAAAAGGTAACACAAATACCCAAAGTTGCATAGCTAGTGAACAGGATAGAACCAAGATTTGCACCCAGGTGATCTGTCTCCTGAACCTGTACTCTTAATCACCTTTGGTCAAATTGAAGTCACTTTCCTAGAGGAACAAGATTTGAATGTTAAGTCAAGTTTTTGGTCTTCTGTACTAGAAAACAATAGCTCTCAGAGATATGACTTTTTATTTTTTTTAAATGTAGGTAGCTCTTGAGACAGCAGATCCAAAATGAATATTCTTTGGCATGTTAAGGTTGTCACTACCAGTCTTTACATAGATTTTATGTTTTCGTTAGTTTGAAAAATATTTAGCGCAATCTCAAAACTGAGGTTTTCAGATGTTGACATGTCAAGTATTATTAATAGCAAATTGAAGTACTTTTCCTTAAGTGCATTACCAGTAAAAATGAAGCAGTCTACATTGTGAAGTATTTTGTGTCTTTTATGATTTGTACTTTAATAGTTTTTCACAGTTCTCCAACTTAACAGTTTTCCCAAAATAAAAAACTTTTTTTCCGATTGCAAAATGATACGCGTTGTTACAAAAACAAAAAAGCAAGCATCAGACATTTCTGAAGAGTATAAAGAATCATCATCTGAAATCCTACCAGCTAGAGAATAACAACTGGTTAACATTGTGGTAGGCATAAACACCTGGAGATTGAAATTCTTTGTTAACTTTATGTGTAAAAATATCTTCTGGTTAATGATTTGCTTTTTTTTCATGGATACTTTTAATAAACAGAAATTGTTAATTTTAATAACAAATATGTGAGGTAGGAATCCACTTTCATTTCCTATCCCCTAAATATGTAACAGTAGTTTTAGAAACACTATATTTTAAGATTCAATTTTTTCCTTACTTTTTGTCTGTTATAAATCAAGTTTGTCTGTTTATGGTCTCTTTATGTTGTTTCATTTATCAGTATGTCTGTTTTTATGCCAGTTACCACACTGTCTAATTTATAGTATCATATAGTTTTTCTTTATAACTAAGTTAAAAGAAGAAAAATCTCTTTGCTTTCTTTTCCCTTAAGTATTCTGGCTGATCTTGGCCTTTTGCTTTTCTATACAAATTTAGAACCAGTTTATTAAATTGCTCTCCCAAATCCATGGTATATTTATTGGAATTTGCATTGCATCATTACATCAATTTTAGGGAGAATTGATATCTTTATGATACTGAATTTTTGATCACTGAATGTGGCATAACTTCCCTTTTATTTGTCTTTTGTCTTCCAATAAAATTACATAGTTCTTTTCATGAAGATTTCCTGTTTTCTGTCAGACCTATAACGTAGAGCAGGGTTCATCAAACTACAGCCCATGGGCGTCATCTGAATGCCACATGTTTTTATAATGTCCATGAGCTGAGAATGCTAGCTATGAATTTTATAAATGGTTGGGAAGAATCAAAAGAACAGTATTCAGTAACGTGAGAATTATATGAAATTGAAATTATAGTGTCTGTAAGTAAAATTTTTTTGGAGCATAGCTATGTTCATTCATTTAAGTATATGATTGCTTTTGCACTACAAATGACAGCATTCATTGTTGAAACGGAGATTGTGTAGCCCACAAATCCTGAAATATTTTACTGTCTGGCCCTTTGTAGAAAAAGTTTGCCTATTCCTGACTTAGAATTATTGTTTGTCTTATTGTTTGTTTGTTTATGTATCTCAGGATTTCTTTGTTTATTGGGTGGAGATGGTGTTTCAGCCTCCATTTCTTTACTCCACCTCCAGTTCTGATAAGACTTAAACTCATGATGAGTCACTGTTACCAAAGTGTGTTGTATCCTTAGATATGTGGGGTCAGAGAAAAAGGTTGAATCTCTTGATACCGTGTTTTATATAATGATCACTGTACCTGATTTTTGGTATTTTACAATTGAGAATTTAACTTAATAAAATACAACTTAATTTGCCTATTTACTCATTTCCCCTTTTATAGGAAGTTAAGAGAGAGACAGAATCCAAGGATGACAATTTGCCCATCAAACGGGAAAGGCATGGGAATGTAGCAAGTCTTGTGCAACGAATAAGCACCTATGGACTTCCAGCTGGTGGAATTCAGCCACATCCACAAACCAAAAACATTAAGAGGAGTATGTAAATAATTCCTTTCTGGTTTAATTAAATCAAAATAGTAAGATGTTTTATAACTGTTGGTAAATGACGTTAAGAAAAATTAGCTCAACTTTTTACAGCAGATTGCAGAAGCTTCCTGCTTATTCTCAGGTTACTAGTTATTGGCCCGTGGAGTCAATCTTCCTATGATAATTCAGCATGAGCTGCTGACAACTGTCTATGGGAATTATAAATTAAAATATGAGGCTTTGTTTTCTTTTAATCTTGCAGGCTCTGTTGAATAGTTTAACACTTTGCCTTAAATTTATTTCACTATCATTTATTTAATGGGATGCTAAACTGTCTGCTTATCCTTAAGCATATAGATTTTTAAGCAGCAAGGATTTTATAGTATGTTTTCTTTAGAGGTTAGACACCTGAATATATACGTTGTTTTCCGAGGTGATTGGCCCAGAAGTGTGCCTTTTAAGTATTTGGTACTCTGTAAATATTTTAGGAGAACAGTTTAGCATAGAGGGAGAGTGCCACATTTGAAATAGACATGAGTTTGAGTTCATCTTGTGACCTTAGATCATTTAAACTCTTGAGTTTTATTTTGCTGCTGGTGAGAAAGTGGTAAAAAGACAGGTAATATTGCTGTTCTCAAAGAGCTTAGGGTCTTTGGAAAGACTTATTAAAAAGGTATTAAACGTTAAACATGTACAAAGAAGTACGACATTTATGGGAACAGATAGAGTTTTAACTTAGTAAAACCTGAAGCCCCTTGATGTTGAATACTAACTATGATGTTCAGTTTGATTTAGTAAGTAGTAAATGGGTATTTAACGACATTTATCTTAGATCAATGTCTTTGATATTGTGGTCTGTAAATCCCTTGTGGTACCACGTAGTCTGCAGTCATGAAATTTTGTTTATATACAGTTCACAAATGTAAGACTATTTATGATTTTTAAAAAGTCTCCTTATATCTCAACCTGTTGCTTTCTGTGCTACTGTCTGTGAAGTTTGAGGAAACCTCTACTTTCTGGGTTATATCACCTTTTGATTATTTTCATAAAATAAAAACATTTTCATAAAAGTGAAACAGATTTCATAACACCGAGACAGACGAATTAAAGGGTTCTGTGTGTTCTTTGTTTCCTGGTAAGTGCACTGTACAAACAATAGTTAGATATTACCTGTACTGCTTTCAGCCTGCCATCTGAGGGTGGATAGTTTCAGTATTGTCATTGTCCTGGACTCTGAAACTCTGGAGATTGGGGGACAGAGAGAGTATGTCCACATCCTGTGTAAAGGTGGCCCTTTATATAGAATTTCTGTGTACAGGAGAATTTTTAGGCCCATGGAAGGGTTATTTATGACCTCTGCCTATTGTAAAATCTATTTACCACTTTCTTTAGCTTTACTGAGCTATAAAGGGACAAGTTTCTTCTTAAGTAGAGGCTAGACAAAGGGCTTCAAAGTTATGAATATTTTATTCATTTTGTCTGCTAATAGGAAAGGACACATGAATTTTGCCTTCCTCAAGAACCATGGTCATAATTCTTTTTCTTGTAAGAAGGAAAAACCATTATGTAGTTGGTGCCAGGAGGCTTAGGCTCTTTTTCCTAAGGATCTCCTCCATAACTTCTTTTTAAGTGCATGTACTGCAAGGACTAAATTGGTCATTTGGTGCTAGCTAACATTTTAAACAGGATGCAGGTTGTTTTTGCTTTCAGATTGCTTTTCCAGGAAAATCAAGCTAATGTTTTTTTTTTAAATCTGATTTTTATTTTGTTACTGTTAGTTTGCATCATATCCTTAATTCACGAAATAGACCAGTTACTCAAAAGTGGTTCATTGTAATAGTAGTAGATACTACTAACCAATACTATTAATATTAAAAAAAACTTAAAATAGTTGTAAAGGTTGATAATGATAAAAACTGCAGTGTGACTGTTCAGTGTAAATCTCTGTGTGTACCAAGACAGGTGAGTCTGCACATGTGTGGAATTTTGTCTAAACAACTAAACAGGAGACATGCAATTAGATAGCTGAATATCTGGAAACTGGACTTAACTATTTTTCTGTAGTCTATAAAGCCAAAAACTTGGCTTTTTTGTGAAGTCTAGTCATGAAGCCATTGAAACTTTTGTTATTGCATGTAAGTTAAGCATGATAACTTCTTTGGTGAGACAAGCAGGTATTTTCTAGATTGGGTACAGAATAATGTTTTCTGGGACAGAGTTTATTACGATAAGTTGCTAAAGTTCTAGAAGAGAAGAAATTTACACTTCTCATAGTAAAAGCAGGAACAAGTCACGTTACTGCTGAGACCCTTGTAAAATTGGGCACAAAGATAATGGGGTAGAGTATTTTACTTACAGAGTAAAGAATTGACGTCTTTCAGCATCACAACTCTATATAACATTCATTGTGGAACATTAGTAGGTATTTCACTTTATATTTGGAAAAAATTGATGCTAGATGTAACTCTATTCTTGGCATGTGAGGGAAAACATTAGTGCCTGTAACCTTGTTAGTGGAAATTCATGCTATGGAAGTGATTTTTCATCTATTTAATAATTATTTTGAATATGAAAGATACATTGTGATTGATAGATCACTAGTAGTTGTTCCAAAAGAAATCATGTTGCTACATGAAAAATTAATTGACTAGAATGTCAGTCTACACAGTGTTTCATTTCCAGAAAACATTCAGTAGCATGTAGTGTGCCTCCTGATTTTGAGTCAGTGCTGAAGAAAATAGTGAGAATTCTGAATACCATCAAAATATGGTCACTGACTATATATCTTTACATCATACATTAAAAATAAAATGGGTTTATCTGTTCAGGCTCTGCTCTTTGACATTAAAATGTTCTGACTCATAAAGAGAAACAGGCTCACACACATGACTCCTCCCCAGCCGCAGCCTCTCAGATAAATGGGGCAGGGTGTTCTGACTTTCTGTTTTATCTTGAAAAATTTAAAATCTTACAGAAAAGTTGAGAGAATAATTGTACGTTGAACATAGCATAGTCTTCACCTAAATTTGCTGTTAACATTTTGTCACAATGGCTTTATCTCTGTATCTGTATACATATACAAATACAGTATTTTAAATAAAGATTGGCACCTGAGCTAACATCTGTTGCCAATCTTCTTCTTCTTCTTTTTTTTTTTTTCCTTCTTCTCCTCCTCCCCAAAGCCCCCGAGTACATAGTTGTAGATTCTAGTTCTGAGTGCCTCTAGTTGTGCTATGTGGGATGCCGCCTCAGCATCACCGGATGAACAGTGCCATGTCTGTGCCCAGGATCCGAAATGGTGAAACTCTGGGCTGGCGAAGTGAGTGTGTGAACTTAACCACTTGGCCACAGGGCCTGCCCCTATAAATACATTTTTTAACTGAATCAGTTGGAAGTACATTGTAGACATGATGCTTTGTCACTGATCACATAAGTTTTTCTTCCTGATGGTGATAATGATAATATATTCTAAGATTTTGGTTGTCTTAATCAAGTAGTATATCTCAGCAATATACCTAGACTCTTGACCAGCTCGAATCTTTAAGTTGTAATGGCCTAAGTATTATGATTTTTTTTTACTAAGAATAAGAAAGAATTTTTAAAGAAGATTCAACCATATAGCAAATGGTTCAGTCACTGTTTCTTAACGTTTGATGATTTTCTCTGCTTACTGGAGAAAGAAATTGATTAAGAAAACTTTTTTTTTTTTTTAAAGATTGGCACCTGAGCTAGCATCTATTGCCAGTCTTTATTTTTTTTTTTATTCTTCTCCCCAAAGCCCCCCAGTACATAGTTATATATTCTAGTTGTAAGTGCCTTTGGTTGTGCTATGTGGGACGCTGCCTCAGCATGACCTGACAAGCAGTGCCGTGTCCGCACCCAGGATCCGAACGGGTGAAACCCTGGGCTGCCAAAACCAAGCATGGGAACTTAACTACTCAGATACCAGGCTGGCTCCCTAAAAATTTTTTTGACATTAGAAAAATGTAAATACTGTAGTAAAACCTGAAGATATAGTTTCCAGAACCAAATGGAACCAAAAGTACATCAGGAATCCTTTTGCTGCTATCTCCAAAGTTTTAGCATCAGCCTCCCAGCATCTGAGTATGGTGTGCTCTTCATTTTAGCATTTGATGGAAAGATTAAAAACAATAATCTTCAGTGAGAAATAGTTCCATAATTTGAGAGCTCTATTTGATCTGAATATTTAGATCTATTTTTCAGAACCATGATATACTTGCAGTTCTTGATGGACCGCCATTTGAAAATTTAGAATTTTCTATTTTACTAGAAAAAATGTGGAAAGTGACTTTACTGAGTGTGAAATTTCACAAAATTAGATTTTGTTTTTTGAAAAATACCAAACATTTCTAAAAAGTTTTTTGAAATTTTTCAACATTTATATGCTGAATGCCTTAATACCTGTGAGTATAAGACCATGAGAGCAGTGTTAGAGTGCGCAATCAAATCTGCCAAATAAAGGTGGGTATGGATAATGATTCAAAACTCACAGTCTAGCGGGGGAAGTCATCAACTTACTATAAATAGGGACTACAGTAATAATTACCTCATAGAATTTTAGAGATATTAACATGTTAAATGTTATAAGAAGTGCTTGATAAATGTTTTTAATTATTATTATTGTGTTTTATGCTATTAAGAACCATATTAGAAACATATGTAATGGGCAGTTATGATTTAAAGGAAGGGGCAGTTCTATATTGGAGTTGTCAAGCAGGGTGTATTTAAGCTCTTATTTAGGTAGGACATGTCATTCACTTGATGATAAAGGAATATGGCTTTCCAGGTAGAATTGCTACCTTTGGGAGACCCACGAGATAAGCAAGTGCATGGTATTTTCAGGAAATAAGCATCCGAGTTGGCTAGACTGCTTGAGCAATGTTAAAGCACTTTGTAGTCTCTAAAGGAGGCAGCATGATATAGTGGAAAGATAAAAGTCCTATGATGATGATAACAAGTTTTTATGATCTCTTGTGTGGGAGATGTTTGTGACTTAGAATAGTACTGATACATAAAAGACATCAAGTAAGTCCCTGTCTTGCTTTTCTCCTTTATCGTCTTCCTTGTTTGATAGCTTTATTTATGAAATATTGATTTAAAAAGACTGACTTATTAATTTCTTGGTAGATCTGAAAAGCTATATGGAGGTTACTTGTGATAAGAAAATACTAGTCATAGTTATTTTTTTAAAATTGACTAATTTCACACATCCTTTTATTGATAGCTCTACTCTTACACATATTGTTTTATTTTCTTTTGTGCTTAACAGGGTTCTGATACATTGTAGAAATTCAGTAAATATTTATTGACCGATGTGTATGGGTAGACATTATGTATGCCCTTTGAAATGTGAAAAATCTCAAAATTCCTTCAGTTGTGCTGCCAGTTAATAGATGAGTTCAATATAGGCAGTCACCTCAACTTATGAGTGAACCTTATTTAAATATGGAATCATGTGAAAAATTTTTCTTTTTTCAATAAATGACTCATATTTTGTGGTAATAATAAGGGCTCTTTAGATGTTATTATCCCATATGGCTTTTTCCTTTGAAAAATGAAAAATTTCTTTGCAAATGATTTTGCAGTCTATTTTGGAAAAACCACTCTGTGGAGAGTTATGAGTAGTGTGAGAGGAAAAGGAAAACAAAGCTTTGGTTAAAATTTAACTAGGCTGCTCAAAATTAATTGATAATGTTTGGAGGCAGGGAGGCTAATTAATACTCTATTGACTTTAAATCATTTAAAAAAATATTGATACTCATTAAAAAGCAAGCTACATTTTTTTTTAAAGGCCTAAGATTATCAGAAAGATAGAAAGGATTTTCTTTGAAGTGTACCCTGAGCAAAATAGATTTTTCTTTTCAATAATATAGATCATTTTCCCCTCATCTATGCAGTGGTTAACTTCAGAGAATACGTTTATGAACACATTTTCTCAGGGTCACTTCAACAACTTGCAGAAGTATTTAGGGACTGTATTTATCTAGTGTAAGAGATGAGAAGTCCTGCATTATGTATAAAACCACTAATTATTACTTAAAAATTTATTCTGAGACCTGATGAAAGGTGACATTTGAAAAATTTTACTGTAAACTCTGGGTTAGTTATAAAAGTATGGTCAGTGTTTACCTTCTTTGGTTCTTTTTATTGTAAAATTTTTAAAAAATCAGATGTAATTATTCATTTAAGAAGAGAGGAAACTGTTACTGAGATGTAACTGTTTCTTGTTTGGAGACTCGCTTCTTCTACTTGATTGTTGTGTTTATTTTGCGTCTCTTTCATGGTGTTGGTTGCATGTAATGTGCTTTTTTTGTTGTTTTGGGGGTTCAGTTGGGTTTATTTTTTGTTTTGATAAACCATTTTGTAGATCCATAGACTGTCAGAGCTGAAGTAACTGTCATGGTTCTCTAGTCCAGCTCTTGTTTTGTAGTTCAGGAAATTGATTCTTAGAGAACTTAGGTCAAATAATTAGGTAATGACAGCCGTATGTCTTTTTTTACTGTATAAAAATGTTTGTTTAGGGGCTGGCCCCGTGGCCGAGTGGTTAAGTTTGCGCGCTCCGCTGCAAGCGGCCCAGTGTTTCGTCAGTTCGAATCCTGGGTGCAGACATGGCACTGCTCATCAAACCACGCTGAGGCAGCGTCCCACATGCCACAACTAGAAGGACCCACAACAAAGAATATACAACTATGTACCAGGGGACTTGGGGGAGAAAAAGGAAAAAAAAAAAAAAAAATGTTTGTTTGGAGATGTTATGACATGATTGATGCAGTGAAATTGTACCTATCTGGATTACTTCTTAGAATTCTCCTTTGTTGCCAGCAAGAACAGTTTCTTTAGAATCCTGCGAGGATTTCATTGGGGAAAGGTTTCCTTGATCTAGAACGTCTGCCACGTCTTTTCCACCTTCTCATATTCATATCTTTCATTGTATAAATCGGTTACCAGTTCTTCTTTGAAGCCTTCCACATCTGCTCAAGTTCAAACCTGTACTTTCTATTAATTTTTGTGAAGTTTGTAGTTTATACTATATATTTTAATATCTCATTATGTATTCGTGTTTTATGACTAATTGTTTAATGTGTATGCTTCTTGTCTCCTGAGTCCTGTTAGTTCCTTAAGTGTACATTTAAATTATTGAGAAAAATCTTAGGATTGTTGGTGGTAAAGAGGTGATGGAATGGAGACCCTCTTGTCATGATATTTTTTGGCATTGATACCTTATGGTTAGGGCTAGATGTTTGTTCATTCAAAATAAATTCATTCAAAAATATTTAATGTACCTGATAGAAGCCAGGCACTATGCTAGGTGCCGAGGATAGAGCAGTTAACAAACTCAGTGCTCATTTATCTTTAGCCTGCAGGGTAGAGGGAGTACACATAAGAACATAAGTCATTATGATAGAATGAAAAGGAAAAGGTGAGTTGTCAATAACAGGTAGGTTGCAGAAGTCAATAGGGTAAGTATTGAGTGCTGTAGAAGCACAAAGGAAGAGTACCTAATCCAGAAAGCTATTTGGGAGGAAGTTTGTTTTCACCTGAGACCTGAAGATAGTTGAAGGCTGACAAGGGTGGGCTTTTTGGATGAAAGTAAAGTGCCCTAGAAACAGTATGTTGAAATCTCAGAAGAAGTAGGGCATGCCATTTTCAAGGAATTAGGTAAAAGCAGTATAACTAGAGCATTGAGTGCAAGATTGAGAATCACCTAGGGATCTTGTTAAAGTGCAGATTCTGATTCAACTTGCTAGGGCTGTGTAACAAAATACCACAGACTAGGTGGCTTGAACAACAGAAATTTATTTTCTCATTGTGCTGGAGGCTAGAAATATAAAATCAAGGTGCTGTCAGCATTGGATCCTGGTGAGGCCTCTTTTCCTGGCTTGCAGGTGGCTGCCTTCTCCGTGTCCTCATATGGTCTTTTGTGTGTGTGTGCGCGCGCGCGCATGTGCACAGTTAGGTCTGTGTGGGCATTAGAGTCCCACTCGTATGACCTTACTTAACCTTAATTACCTCTCAAAAGGCTCTATCTCCAAATACAGTCATTTTAGGGGTTAGGGCTTCAGTATACGAATTTTGGGAGGATACAGTTCAGTCCATAACAAGTAGGTCTCTGGTGGAGCCTGAGATATTGCATTTCTAACAAGTTCCTGGGTGATACTGTTGCTGCTGGTTTGAGGAACATACTTCGAGTAGCAAGAAGTAATCCTTTAATCAACTATACCTGGTCATCTACCCATAGCTGCTTCAATGAGTCACTTTTAAAGATGGGAGTGAGTTCTCAAATCTTAGTGTTTGAAAGAAGTTGAAAACCACAAACCTGGATGGTTGTAAATGATCATTACTGTCTAAATAAATGAAGCTTGATTGGAAAGGTAATATAAAATTATTATTATTATTATTATTTTAAGATTTTATTTTTTTCCTTTTTCTCCCCAAAGCCCCCTGGTACATAGTTGTATATTCTTCGTTGTGGGTCCTTCTAGTTGTGGCATGTGGGACGCTGCTTCAGCGTGGTTTGATGAGCAGTGCCATGTCCGCACCCAGGATTCGAACCAACGAAACACTGGGCTGCCTGCAGCGGAGCACGCGAACTTAACCACTCGGCCACCGGGCCAGCCCCAATATAAAATTATTTTTGTTTTTGCCTATGCGAGTTTGATTTTTATCTGTCAGAAAATAGAGCTATTAAAGAAGATAAAATATATTTTAGATTTGTGCATTTTGCCTGTTTTTACACTCTCTTAAATTAGTATATTTTAAGTATTCCTAGACTTTGATCAAGAAGTAGTCTGAAAATCACTGGCTTCGAGGACTTGTCTGTGATGAATTTGTTGTGCCAACAGTGTCTTTTATTGTCTGTATTTCTAGTCTCAAAATTGGCAGTGGATATTTTGCTTTTGTGTAATTGGTGGGATCAGATGTATAAGTAGATTTCATTACCAGGAGCGTTGTACCGTATTTGTAGTTGGTTTGAATTTATTTTGAGATGACTAGACTATAGTGGGAAGGCAAGGTGGAAAGCCAACCAGAACTGGTGGTGTGTGGTTAGCTGCTTAAAATGCTTACATGTTCTGTTTTTATGTATACATATAAATCTAATGATAGTAAACATAGTATGTAAATAAAGGTGCTATTGTTTGTTTTAATGATCTTTCTTAACCTAATTTTTTATGTTACTTCCTTCAGAGACCAAGAAGCGTCAGTGTAAAGTTCTCTTTGAATACATTCCACAAAATGAGGATGAACTGGAGCTGAAAGTGGGAGATATTATTGATATTAATGAAGAGGTAAGGAACACATATGTGTTAGAGATAAAGCAGCAATTGGAATTGATGCTTTGGGTATTAGAAAAATATTTTGTAAGAATGTTAATTTTTGTGGGGTTTTTTTTTGCCAGTTTCACTGCTTTTTGTAAAAATTTTAAGATACATACTTTAAAATGGATCTCTAGTGACTTAATGCAAGGTTGTCTTCTCTGTAGAAATAAAGCCTTACTCTTCATTGCTGTACCTCATATTTGTGTACTCTATTTGTATCTGTTGACTTTAGGAATAAAAAAAACCTTTTTTAAAGCTAAAAATTAATGTAATAAGTAGCTAAGAATATAATCAAACCTTTTCTTTGATTCTAAATTCACCTTAGATACAAAGCAGTATAATGGAAGGATTTTTACCTTTTGTTTAGCAAAGGGATACAAAAGCAGAATATTTTAAAAAGCTTTGTTTGAATTATCACATTCAAATATTAACCAAAAACACTTTCCCCGCGTTTTTATATGTTAGAATGAGATTTAAAAATACTTAAAAAATAATTTCTTGTGTCTGCTTTTATTGTGAGAGGAATAATAAAGTTTTATTTGGCAACTGAAGATCCCATTTTCAGAGTGTATGATTTGATATCATATATTGTCACAGGAATTGCTTTTGTGTCATAACATCATGTAATGAAATTTCTCACTTATATTTGTGTTAAATTCCAATGTGTTTATACAAAAGGCAACTGTTTTATTTCCACCAGGTGGCAATAATAATAGTTAACCTTTATTGAGCCTATATTATGTCAGAGGCACTGTGCTAAGTGTTTCACATTTATTATTTCCTTTAAATTTCTAAACAACCTAAGGAGATAAGAATTTTTATCCCCATTTTACGTATGAAGAGATTGAATCGCAGAAGATAAGTGATTGGCTCTTCCAATTACTGTTGCTGAATAACATGCCATACCAGACTTTGTGGCAAAGAACAACTGTTTTATTAGGGTCTTGGCTTATTTGGGTCAGGAATTCAGATAGGGCACCCCAGGGATGGCTTGTCTCTGTTCTGTGATGTAGGGGACCTCAGCTAGGAAGATTTAAAATTGAGTGCTGGTGGAATCACAGGAATGCTCCTTCACTGACACGTCTGGTGCCTAGAAGGCTCAGAAATTGGGCTGCCAATGGAGAGCCGTTATGTAGCTTCTCTCTTTGGCTTGGCTTTCTTGCTGTGTTGGGACCTTAGGGGTGTCAGGGTAGCTGGACTTATGACATGGCAGTTCAGGGCTCTAAGTGTAAGTAAGCATTTCAGTAAACATGTCGATAGTGTTTTATAATCTAACCTTGGAAGTGATAGTGTCACTTTCACCACGTTCTCTTGGTTACGAGTGTGTCATAAGCCATCAAGATTGAAGGGGGTCGGAACAAAGACCCCTTCTAGGTGTGAGGAGTGTCACGATTACATTGTAGGTGAGCATGTGGGGTAGATTTTGTTTCAGCCATCTTTGCCCAAGTTGCATGTCTGGTATGCAGAGGAGCCAGAATCTGAATCCACACAGTCTGTTTTTGAGTCATTGTTCTTTACCATTATATACTACCCTACCTCTTAAGAGTACCTTAATTAATAGGAATTGTTATATGCTTATTTACCCTAACTATGTAATTGATGCCAATTTGGGATCCAGGAGTAGATAATAGTTCGCTGATGTTTCTCTCTCTTTGTTGTGCCTGTTCCAGGTTGGTTTACGAATCTCCATCACATCTGGTTTAAACTCCCAGTCCTTTGGTGCCTCCTTAAGTCTGCTAAACATTCTGAACTCTTCACACTTAACTGCCTTCCATTCCTCCCTCAAGCAGCTTGTATTCTAGCCACCTTGTATTTCAGCTATATATATTCCATGAATAAGTCCTTTATTTTTATGTCACCATATTTTTCACATGCTTTATACCTGGAAAACTCTTAATCAGCCTTTAATATCCAGCTGTTTTGTCATTTCCCTTTAGAGGAGTCTCTTTTGATTCTTTTAAGCCCTTCCCTTGTGCTCGTACAGCATTTTGTTCCTACTTTTCTTATAGCAACTCTTACATTGTAACTATTTGCTTATTGTTTGTTTTCTTCTTTAGATTTTTTTGTTCAAAGAGAGAGATTTCTCATATGCAAATTTGAATCTTTCCCTAGCACCTAACACCATGGCTTGTACATAGTGAATGCCTATTGGATGAATAACTTATTAAAGTTTGCTTTGTAATTATGATGAAGTAAAACAAACTTAAAAACATATTTTAAGCAGAAAAAAACTTTTTCCAGCTATGATAATTGCATGTACTGCTAAGTGAATTTTGACAGTGAATAGCTTTCTCTTTAAACAGTTGTTTTTACCTGTTAATACCTGTTAGCATCCTTAGCAGAAACTATACATTTTAAAACAGTTATTAAATATTATTAAATAACTTCATGGAAATTGAGTAACCTCGTTATTAGTGAATGTTAAGTATTTTTCTGAAGAGTTTTGTTTCTGAGGGTATTTCTGTTTGGGGTAGGGGAGAGTGTTTAATAGAGCCTGGCATCTGGATTTTTAAAAATACATGATTCTTTCTTATACTTGAGTTAAGACTCACTGGTTAATAAAAGGTTTAGTAATTTTATATGTGATTTAGAAAGTTATATTCTTACATTCATGAAACTTTTTCCAAATACTTAAATAATATGTGTCATAATTACAGTCCGAGGCTCAGTGGTATTTAAAAGAGTGACATTCCAGAAGGAAGCTGTCTACTTCTTGCTGTTAATACATTATTATTGGTTGTCTGATACTTTCATGAAAATTATTTACTACATAGGTTACAAATGATTACAAGTTCTCATTGTAAATGTTGCAAAGTGCTATTGATATCACTAATCTCATCTATGATTAATCCAGTCTACTTAGAATTAATCTACTTAAAATATATTTATATTTTTCCCCGTTGCATTTTCTTATAGATTTAAAGGGATTATTTTGCATCACTAACTTTGTGCTTATTTGCTTCTGTAGCTTGATTTTCCCATGGGGGAAGATTTTCGTTGAAGATAAATTTTTATTATTTTTGAGTTGTGAACTCTTTCAGGTAGAAGAAGGCTGGTGGAGTGGAACCTTGAACAACAAGTTGGGACTGTTTCCCTCCAATTTTGTGCAAGAATTAGAGGTAACAGATGATGGTGAAGCTCATGAAGCCCAGGAGGATTCAGGTAGACTTTAAAACATTTGCATAGATTTAAACAGACTTCATATTTGACCTAGCGTTTGCTTTGTATTTTTTGAAACTCTATTCTTAGTTTTGAACTATGAGCTTCAGTTTATGTACCTTAAGAAAGCAGCTTATGAGAGCGACTTAAAATGAACTAAATATCTAGGCAAGTAATTTAAAAGTTTTTCTTCTTTGATGTCTGCTTCAACCCGAAGTATACTACCTAGGTTATATGATTTTGTCTCACTTAAGATATACTTATGTACATCTTTGATCTGAGTTTACAAATGGCCTATCTAATTTAGAAATTTTAGAAATTAAAAAAACCTTCCTTTTGTTGTTTTCCATATTCACATAATAGATTTTGTTTTCTCTGTGCAGCCAGAATATCATTTAGTTAATTTGTAATTTTTGTCATTTAGAGACTCAGCCACAAATTCATCTTAAGTTTGCTCATCATTCAAAAGTGAGATTGAGGGGGCTGGCCCGGTGGCGCAGCGTTAAGTGCGCACGCTCTGCTTTGGAGGCCCGGTATTCGCTGGTTCAGATCCCGGGTGCGGACACGGCACTGCTTGGCAAGCCATGCTGTGGCAGGCGTCCCACATATAAAGTAGAGGAAGGTGGGCACGGATGTTAGCTCAGGGCCAGCCTTCCTTAGTGAAAAGAGGAGGATTGGCAGCAGATGTTAGCTCAGGGCTAATCTTCCTGAAAAAAAAGTGTGATTGAGAAAATTATACTCCAGAGCTAGATTTACGTTTTTTACTTTTAGGAATTGCTGTGGAATTTAGGAGAATTTTTTTTTTTAAAGAGAAATTGAATTCATAAGTGATAATGCAGGGATAAAGTGGATCTTTTTATGGAAGAGTATATGTAGTGAGACTGTTCAGGGATTTATGCTTGCGTTAACTAATATTATTTGGCAATTTTGTAATGCTTAGATAGGTTTATAGATATTGAAGGGTAGACATACAGCCTTAAGTTGCAGTATCACTGTTTTTTTCAGAGCCAGTGTAATGTCAAGATATGAAGACTATTGTTTTTGTCCATTTGGGCTGCTTTAACAATATACCACAGACTAGGTAGCTTATAAACAACAGAAATTTATTTCTCACAGTTCTGGAGGCTGGGAAGTTTAAGATCAAAGCCTTAGTGTGGTCAAGTTCTGATGAGGCCTCTTCCTGGTGCATAGCTGGTGACTTCTCACTATGTACTCAGATGGTGGGAGGGGCAAGGGATTTCTCTGGAGTCGCTTTTGTAAAGTACTAATCCTATTCCTGAGGGCTCTGCCCTCGAGACCAAATCAGCTCTCAAAAGCCCCGCTTCCTCTAGCATCACCTGGAGAGTTAGGATTCAACATGCCAATCTGGAGGAACAGACATTGAGACCATAGCAATTACGTATCGTTCAGAATGTGGTGATAAAGTCCTAAGGTTTTCCAGACTGCTGTACGTAAAACACTTTCCATTGCATTCCAGTGGCACACTTCTATTTTTTAATCTATCTTTAGATAGATCATACTAGGGTGTTAGGCTCCAGGGACTACCTTTTAGTTATCTTTGCTTAACTGTAGTTTCTTTGTTTGCAAAATAGGAATAAAAACTTTTATCTAAGAGGGTTGTTATGTGAATTGGCAGGATAGTTTCTAAGTGTAATGCTTGCCACATAGTAGATTGTATTGAACCTTTCGTTTCTTTTGCTTCCTTTTGTCAGTACCTTCAATATTTTGAAATGAAGTAGGAAAGCATTATAAGGTTGTTATGTGTGGAACATTGATTTATAAGCCTCAGTGTATTCAGTAGTAAGGGAATGAATTTTAGAAGGAAAAAACTAAATAATTTTATATTTAATAGATGGTAATATTAAGCATAATTGATAAAGCTATCTAGAAATCATTGTTGAAATTGTTCTTAAAGTTTGTGTGATGTTTTTTTTAGTTCTATCATTTTAGACCTTGTTAAGAAAGTTCTCTGAAACTTTCCCTCATCCATAATTATGGTTTGTTTACACATGAAAATTTGTGCAGTTTTTTCCTACTTTTTTTGGTCAGGAACGTTCTCCCTAAGCTAACGTCTGTTGCCAGTATTCCTTTTTTTTACTTGAGGAAGATTAGCCCTGAGCTAACATCTGTGCCAGTCTTCCTCTATTTTGTATATGGGTCACTGCCACAGCATGCCTTGATGAGTAGTGTATTTCAGTGCCCAGGATCCAAACTCGAGAACCCAGGCCACCAAAGCTGAGTGCCAGACTTAACTACTACACCACAGGTTAGAAAAGTATTGAGCCTCCAGAAAAGCCAGGTAATGAAATGGTAGAATAGGGCATGAAATGTTAGAGCAAGCTCACAAACATCTAGATGTAAAACTAGAAAGTCCTAGTGCAACCCCCTCATCTTATGGCAGAGAAACCTAAGACTTTGAGAAATTACAACCTATATTTTATTCTACATATTCTTCTTAGAAGAAGATTCTGATCTCATTCCTGAGTACTTTTACACACTACTCCTCACCTTATGGTTTCATCCTTTAAACTCTAGAACAGTGATTTTTTTTTTTAACTTGGAGAAAAGTTAAAAAAATAAAACAAAGTGGGGCTGGCCTAGTGGTGTAGTGGTTAAGTTCGTTCATTGTGCTTTGGTGGCTCAGGGTTCGCGGGGTTTGGATCCGAGGCACAGACCTAGCACTGCTCATCAAGCCACACTGTGGCAGCATCCCACATGAAATGGAGGAAGATTTGCCACAGATGTTAGCTGAGGGCCAATCTTCCTCACAAAAACAAACAAACAAAATAAAACAAAGAGCTCCTCTATACTATTTTTCCAAATTCACCAATTGTTAACATTTTGCCGTTTGCTAATTTATCATTCACTTTCTATTTATCTGTTTTTTACCTTTACCTTTTAGTACTTTAGTGTATGTTTCCTAAGAACAAGGACTGTCTCTTACGTAGCTATAGTATAATTATCAAAATCAAGACATTTAATATTGACAGTATTATTTAATCCACAGTCCATATACAAATTTATTTAATTATTCTAGTATATGCTTATAGCTTTTTTTCTTCCAGTTCTGAACAAGACCATGCAGGAATTTATTTCTTGAGTTTCTTTAATCTAGAATAGTTCCCTATCCTTTCTGTTTTTCTTGACCATCACATTTTTTAAGAGTTTAGGCTGGTTATTTTGTATAATGGATCCTAGTTTGATTTTTCTTCTGCTTCTTTGTGATTAGTTTCAGGTTATATTTTATTGACAGGACTACAAGACTGATGATGTCTTACTGCCTTATATCAGGAGGCACATGATGTCTGTGTTTTATTATTGGTGATGTTAAATTTGATTACTTGGTTACAGTTGTGATGCCACTACAAGTTTACTTTCCTTATAATTGGTGAGTGTCTTGTGGGGAGATCCTTTCAGACTATGTGAATATTCTGTTCCTCATCAAACTTTCACCCAACAGTTTAAGCATCCATGGATAAATTTTGCCTGAAGCAGTTATTACCGTGATAGTTGCAAAATAATGATTTTTCTAACTCCATCATCCCACCTCTGTTTATTACTTGATACTCTTCTCTAAAGAAGAACTTTTCTTTCTCCCCAGTTTGTTTGTTTATTAATGTGGACTCATCAGTGGGTTCTGTTTTATTCACTACATATTACTCTATTACTTTCATTATTTTTTACTTTGATACTGTCAGATTTGGCCAGTTGGAGCTCTTTCAAACTAGTTCTGTGACATTTTTTAAAAATCAACTTTATTAAAATTAAAAATATGCAGTAAACTGTGCCTGTTTAAAATATACAGTTTGATGAATTTGAGATGTATACATCCATGAAAACCACTACCCCAGTAAATGTACAGAAATGTCCATCATCCCCAAAATATCCCTCAGGTCCCTTTGTGGTCCATCTCTTTTTCTGCTTTTGATCCCAGGTGATCATATTTCTGCTTTTTCTTATTTTGGATCAGTGTGCATTAATGTGTCCTCTTGACGTGTCTCCATCATTTTTTGACACTTTCTGACTTTGTGATACAAGATCTTCCAGGGTCATCTTGAACTTTCCCTACTCCAATCCTGGAATCAGCTACTTATTCAGGCAACCGTATTTTCTTTTAGAGAGGGTGATAGTGGTTAGACATTGAGATGTGAGTGCAAGTGTGCTCATTGCTCCTAGGAGCAATAATGCTTCTAGGCCCTCTGGGTGGATAAAACTGGGGAATGCTTACACATACATACACAAACACACACCCACACACACCCACACACCCACACCCCCACACCCCTATATCTCTTTACTTATCATTCATTCATCTATCTACTTATCTGCCTACCCATTGCTACTGGTACCTCTAATTCCAATTTCATAATACAGGGTACATTCTAGAGTCTGCGTTGATTTCATTTTTAAACCTATCAGCCATAGAAATGAATGAAATCAGTAATTGAGTGTGCTTTACTTTTAGGGGAGTTTAATTTTTCTTACAGGTTTTAGTTATTTATACTTTGCAAGTTTCAATTATATTGCCTGTGTATATTTTCTTTTGTATTCATTCATGAAAGGATTAATCTTTAAAAAGCAATATTATAATCTTTGGTGTTATCAATAGATTGTAATGGGTATGGAAAAAAAGAGTATGAAGTCAATTTCTGAAGAGTTCACAGAAGAGATCTTGGAATTTTAGAAAGTGACAGGGAAAAATGTGTTACTTTACATAGTTGTAAAATACTGTTAATTTGTGTTAGGAAGTAAATACTATATAGCAGATCTAGTAATGAGAGCTAGGAATAATGAATGAGATATTGAGGAAAAATTGCCAGTTAACTATAAATAATACCAGCATTTCCAGTGAGGGTTTTAGTAATCAATTTTAGTAATAATTAATAAGTAATAGAGTGAAGGTATAAATTAGTTTGATGAATAGTTGTAACTCTGCTCTAATTTTTAGAATAAAATATGTGAACTTAGGTATAAGTAGAGACCAGTTTAATCAAGTGATTATT